GACACGCGAAACACGCGTGCGGGGTGGCCTGACCTTGCCTGCCGCGCGTCGGCACGTGCCACGGTGCAAACCGAATTTCAACGTCGATGTTCGCATTTTTGTTTAGTGTTTGGACGGCGCGCGGCACGGTTGCGCGCATACCCCGTGCACGAGGGTCCTTTCAGAGCCCCCCCTCCTCCCCCTCTCCTCCGCGCAGAAGTATGGGGGGCAGGGGTCAGGGGCCGTTCTTAAGCGGCGGGCGGCCCGCTCTGGCGTCCTACGCTGTCGATGGGCGTCCGGTGGAGTATCTACGATCGCTGGCCCGGCGGGCGCGGCCACCCAATAAACACGAAAACAGCCACCACCACGGGGTCACTACGAATGACCGACTTCATTGTATGCTAGGTGGAAGTACTTTCTAAGAAATATGGACTGCTCGGATTAAAAGAAAAATGTGTAAACAAAAGTCAACGCAGCGGGAAATTGTAGACGAAAAGTGAATTGAATCGTTCTGTATCGCGTCTGCCGCGCACTCGTGTGGCTCTGCCCATGCAGAATGCCCGGGGCCGGTTCGACCGCTCATCGCCAAATCAATGAGGCTATGCGGTCGGCGTGGCGTAGCGTGTGGCGTGGCGCGGCGCGGCGTGGCGTGGCGTGGCGCTGGAGGGTTATATCGTGTGCGACGCATCGCGATGAGAGCCAACGGCGGCGCTGGTGACTTTTCGCCAATTACAGACCCCTGCTGGAGCCGCGGGGCTGCGCCGACGCGACGCCGTGGATCAAGGTCTCGTCACCGCCAGGCTGTGGCGCCAGAGTATGAAAAGTATACTCATCCATCATCGACGATCCTATTCCCGCAGCCCCCAAGGGGAGAGGCCTCGCCTAATACCACCTCGCCATCGCCGCCCTCTCCCCCTCCCCCGAAATGGCACGACCAGTGAGGGGCGCTCAAACACTACATGACAGGTGGAATGCCATTGGTGCGACTGTCAGCTTGATTAAAGATAGGACCTCGTCGTGCGGGGGTGAACGTGCACATCTAAAGAGAATCCAACAGTAGGATAATCCCATCACGTATTGCAATTACCGCAGGACGCGCTTGCCCTATCGTCGTAGAAGTGGATATTTGTGTCAACAGCGGAACATTCACACTGTTGAAACAGTAAGACGAGCAGAGTTTACGATTGTAACAGTCCCACTGTCGGTGTCCAAATCCGATTACATTTTCAAAGCAGGCGAAGGGTTAATTTAGGACCCCCGCGATGACCTCGACTAAAACCGACAGCAAAAACTCACGTCCTGTTCATGTTGTTTGTGTTCTGGTCCCTAGCGTGGTTCCGTGGCGCCATTTACTTTTTATTTTAACGTTTGATTGGAACTTTTTCGTAAAATATAAGTATGCCTAAATTATAATTACTTATCTGGTCTTATTTTCTATAAATTATTGTATTGTTGTAATAACGTATTATTCCATCCTTGCCGATCTCGAAATCACAAATTAGTAACATACCTTCAATCGCAAATAATATCTAGGGTTTGTCCTACTGGAGCAAGACCGAGCAAGACACTTAGCAGGCGGGATGAGGGGTTCTATTGAAATCATCAAGGCCAATGCTTACTCATTCTTCCCACACACAGGAGGCTTCGCGTCACTTTGGGTAACCAGGGACCTGTGGGAATCGAAAGAAAAACAAAATGCAGCTACTGTTCTAAAGAAAAAGATACAAATTAAAGAAATATGCCAGCAAGAAACTATTCTGGTTTGAAAAAAAGTTAAATTAAAAGAATGAGCTACTTGTTTTACTTGTGTACTTCATGCTACTAAGTTATAACTAACTGATCTAGTGAATACTAGAATTTTTTTTTGTAATAGACTTAAAAAGATCAAGTTCAATAGATTTTTTAAGCTAGTTGAAGAGATTATTGGATGACATGCCCTTCAACAGGTGATGAGGACAAGACCTGAAAGTGACTACACATGCAACTTCATTACACAACTTGTTTCTTGTCGTTTTTCCCTCTGTAATTTTATGTAGATTTGGACAAAGACAGATATCAGTCGCATCATAGACGTGAGTGAAAACCATTTTATTTCATTCACATAAACAAGTAAAAATGTAGTATGGAAAGACTGTGCATCATATGTACAGATAAGGTTTTGCTTAAGTTAGATAAGAATATAACAAATTATTACCTACTATCACCACTCCAAATCACTAGTGTCAGTCCAACACCTCTTAATACACTCCTCTCAACAAATATTGCTCGAATGTAAAAATTATTTTTCACAACATCTGGGATATCTAAATTCCATTAGATTAATAACTAAGCACTCAAGACATTGACGTAAACATGAAGTATAAAATTAAGCAGGTGAAATGTCAGTGATTGTTTCACACATTTTCATCAAGTCACAAAATGAAGAGAAGAAAAGAGCAGGCCAACACTTAGTGGAACTTCCTTACAAACGGGAAATAAACAAAAGTAATGAGGATAAAATTTAATTATTCCACAAAAAGTGTGCAACAGCAGTGTTAAAGTTTAATTATCAGTTACACAACACAATTAACACAACAGCAGTAACGGCTGATCTCCTTAAATTTAGCTAAACCTATATCTTTATCAAATCAGCCGTCAGGAATCAGGCCCAAGCCCAAGCCTTAGCTTTGTGGATACATTTCATTTCTCATGTTTTGTTTCACCTTCTAATGTATACGAGCGCAAACATATTTTGCCGGTTACAACCGTATATTGAAACGTTGTAATGTTGCCTTACCAAAATATAAACGTCACCTAACAATCATAGTTAATCTAAGGCGGCTAACATCATACCAGAGAAGAATTTTAATAGCTAAACTTAATAGTTTACTAGTAGCGAGGTAGTATAATATGAACATTTCAAGGGGAAACAATTTATTTCACAACACTTTGGAGAAAATTGAAACTAGTTGTGGAAACTTGAGCTCGGCATAGTTGTAAAATGATTCCTTGCAGGCACCAGTGGAGACAAAAGAATAGGAAGGAGACATACCCCACCACAGTTGAAATAAACTGTGGCAGTTAAAAAGAGTTAGTACAAAGGGTGATGGACAGCGCATTCAAGGCACAGCTGCCCATTTGGCTCCCTGGGAGCGAGAGCGCACTCCGTGGTTGTCATCCTGGCCTCCACCAAGTCCAGCGCGTCTGTGGGGCTACCATCGCGGTCCTCAGACACAAGGGGCCTATACACGTGGCGGTGGTAACGCTGAGTCAGATCGGTGGGGACGTCGTCCGCGGTAGAGGCCGTGCACACCGAGTCCTGCGACGACACATGTGAGGACCAGCGGGCCGTCGAGTCCTCCGAGAGCAGCCTCTGGAACATGCGGCGCCTCCGCGCGCCCTCCACGGACAGCACCCGGTGACGGAGCGCAGACGCGCCGGCCGGCCGCGGCGTCCCGGGGGGCGGCGGCGTGGCCCCGCCCCCGCCCGTGTCCAGGGCGTCCGGCACGGGCGTGCCGCAGCAGGGCGTGTCGCTGGGAGTGCCGCAGGGCGTACCGTACGGCAGGCTCTCCGAGTCCGCGGCCAGAGCGTACGCGGGCGGAGTCTGGGGCACGGGGCTGCCGCACGGCGAGGACACGTCGCTGTCCTCGAGGTACAGGCGGCCGGGGCGCCACGCGGCGCGCGGGCTGCTCTCGTCCAGGTACAGCCGGCCCCGGCGCACGGCGCTGCACTCGGGCAGGCTGCGCCGCTGCGGCAGGGGCGTGGGCGGCGGCTGGCGCGCGCATCCCCCGGGCGCCTGCTGCCGGAAGACGCTGGCCCCGAGCTGCAGCGGCGGTCGCGTCTGCCGCGCGGGGACAGGGGTGTGCAGGCTGGGCCGGCGCAAAGGGGTGGGCGTGGGCTGGTGGTGGTGGTGATGGTGGTGGTGGTGGAGGTTGCGCGAGGATGACAGCGCGGGCGCCACCACGTCCGGGCACGGCTGGTGCACGCCGTAGCGCACGCTGGCCAGCTCCACGCACGTCAGCCCGTCGGCGTGCACGTGCTGGCGGCGCAGGATGGGCGTGCCGCCGTCCGGGCACGCGCACCACTCGGGCTGCGGGGCCGCGGGCAGGCTGTCCTTGGCCTCGGCCCTGACGCGTGCTGCGGTGGCGGCGGGCGCGGTGGCGGCGGCCACGTCCGCGGGACAGCTGCTGGAGTCCCTCTTGAAGCGCAGCCGCAGAGCGGACCGCAACGACGCGCGCCAGGAGGACAGCCGGCGGCGAACGAACGACTGCCGCCTGTCTGGCGGACGGTCGGCCGCGCTGTCCGCCGTGACGTCCGGGACCCGCGTTTCCTCGGCGCCTACAGGACGGTCCTCGACGTGATGGCGAGCGCAGGCGCTGGAGGGCGGCCGCAGGGAGGACGGGCGCGACGGTCTCGACCCGAGTGGAGTAACGGGGGTGGACGCCGACCGCGACAGCGAAGGCAGCGAAGGGGGCGGTGATGGCAGCGGTGACAGGGGTGGCGATGGAGGCGGTGACAGTGGTGGCGATGCGGGTGCCGATCTGGGGGGCGAGTGGTCAAACACCGAGGCCGTGGGGCTCGGGGCGCGCGGCGGCAGTGGCGAGGTGGCCGGCGCCCGCAAGCACACGGCAGGGGCGCTGAGCTTGCGCAGCGGCCGCGACGTGGCAGACAGCGACTCGAACACCCGCACCTTGACGAGGGTGCACGGCTGCTCCGCGGGCAGCGACGACGAGGAGGGCGCCTGCCCCTGCCAATCCGCGGGCCGAGGGCTAACCGGCGACGGCTGCTGCTTCGGCGTGCGCGGCTGAGACTTGGGCGAGGAGGACGAGGTCGGGCTGCTGAGCGCGCGGCTGGCGGCGCGCCGCAGCACGCTGGGCATCGAGTCGATGGCGCTGAGCGCGCCCAGCACGGCCTGCATGGCGTCCGAGGCCCACGCCAGGCGGCTCTGGCGCGGCGACACCAGCGGCCACAGGCGCAGCGTGCACAGCAGGATCTTGTGCTCCGACACGTGGCCGCGGCCCCACTTGGCCGCCACGCCTCGCACGTAGCCCCAGTTGCTGAGGATGTGGTCCGGCTGCGCCTGCGTGCTCCGCCTCACGTGCGTCACGCGCGTCGAGTTGCACGCGTCGCGGGTGTTCCACACGACCAGCCGGAAGGCGCGCACCAGCTCCTTGAGCATCACGGCGTTGATGTTGTCCGACTCGTGGTGCAGGTTCTTGCCGATGTACTTGCCGTGCAGCCGGTCGTCCAGGTCGTTGGCGCCCAGGTGCGCGTTCAGGTCGCCGCCCACCAGCACGTTCTGGTCGGGCGGCAGCGCGCCCAGGAGGCACGCCAGCGTGTTGAACACGCAGTGGCTGTAGTGCGCGGCGCTGCGCGCGTGCGCGCTGATGACCACGAACTCGGTCTGCTCCGAGAAGCGCAGGCGCATCACGCACAGCGAGTCGGACACGGCGTCGAAGCGCAGCACCTCGGCGGCCGCCTCGCGCCGCACCAGGATGGCCGTGCCCCGGAGGAAGGCGGGCGCGCGGCCGCCGCTCAGGAACCAGCGGTAGCTGGCCGTGCGGCAGCGGCCCGTCGGCATGAGTGTCTCCTGCACGCACGCCACGTCCACGCCGGCCGCGCTGAGCGCCGCGTCCACGGAGCGCCGCTCCACCGCGCGCCGACAGCCGTGCACGTTCCACGTGCAGATGCGCACGCCGACGGGACGCACGGGCAGCGACGAGCGGCGGAACATGCCGGGCCCCTGCGAGCCCTGTGTCCAGCCGGGCGGTCAGGGGCGGAGCCAGGAGAGGGGCGGGCACCCTGGCCCCGCCCCTGGCCCCGCGGAGCTGCCCTACGCTACGGCATGCCCTACAAGTAAAAGCAGCGGGAGGGGGTTGTCCTCACCTAGGGGGGCGCAGGAGCGCGGGCGTCCTGGCGTCCAGCTGACGTGCTTGAGGTCCTGCGACAGCGCCAGCACCCGGTAGTAGTGACGGCGGGGGCGCACCTTGATGAGGGAGGTGCCCTGCATCATGTGGCGCACGCACTCCTCCGCTGCAAAACAGAAACAAAGGGTCAGTGCAATGTTGTAGGCCTCCGTCGAGTTTGGCTTCATTTAACACGTTGTGTCTGAGTCCCAGAGAATTAAAAAGGGTGGTGGTGCGGCCACCATTTGCCCACGTGGGCCTCAACGCCGGCATACGTAGCGAGGGTGCGGAGGCAAACCATGCCGCGACTGCATCAAAGCCGGTGCTCCATTACGGCGGAAACTGCACCCACGCCTGTCAGGCAGGCGTATCATCACACCCACTCGCGCCTCTGCAGGTCAGGCTAGGGTCAGGCCACAGCAGCGAGCACAGGTGGGTGGACCGCCGCCCCACTCGGTGCCAAACAGAACACACCCCCACGCCACGGTCACGCCGATCTCGCCGCTAATCCCAGCCCGGTTCCACTCACTCCGACGCCCCCACCCGGCAGATCCATTCGGGATCGTGACGTGACGGCGCGCGCGGAATTAGCTCATCTGATGGAAATTCGTGACCAACTAAACGGTTTACGCAGCGAGACCATAGGCAGGCAGGCGTCAGAGAACACGGGACGGGGGGGAGTCAAACCTCTTTGGTGGCCGCGCTAGTTTGGAGGTTATGGCGGACCCGACCGCACGATTCTTTTCGTGAGACGATGTGACTACGATGCAAAGATGCGCAATACATTAACAACATAGTAGTGTAACTGTTGAGGGCGGCGCTCCGAAGGAAACTTGGAGATATCGAAATAAAACTTTGGACACGATGCGTTGGGTTGGGTGGGGGAGGCCACCCGCAGCGCGGCACCTCGGGATCAGGATCAGGAGGCACATGAACGCCGTCGCGGCCACCAATCACCTGTGCGGGGGAGAGCGCGGCAGGCTGTCCGTCAGGGAGCGGCGCGCGGCGGGG